AATATCTCAATTTGGATTGCTCATCAAATATCTCAATTTGGATTGCTTATCAACACCTGCTACTGATCCTGCATATCTGGGTCCCTTTTGTTATCTTTAACCATTTTTCCGCAGGAAATGAAAAACTCCAGCAGGATAATTACAGAGAATCAAGCCAAGATGCTACCCCGTGGGGAAAGTCCCCTTAGCTCGGCACCCCTCCCATCACCCCACCACCACCAAATGAAAAGCTGTCTGGGGTGGAAACCGCCCCCAGAGTTGCACTGTCAGTGGGAGAAGCTGAGTAAGATCATATGAAGCAAACCACTCGGCTTATCTCTAGTCTCCCTTTCTTCCTTCCTTTACTTATGCTCACAGTAGAAACAAAGGGAAATGTTTTAAAGTTCCTGGCTTCTCCTCCACCCCAAAAGGGACTTTTCTGGAGAAGGGGAAGGGAGGGCAAAACAAAGAAGGAAACAAGGACTCGGAACAGTCTACAGGAGGACTCCCACTCATGCTCGAAATGCTCGTTGCCTATTAGGTGCAGCCCCACGTCCCCGGCAGGTGCTGCGGCTCCCGGAGCCCTGGCTGAGGCCCGAGGGACGCGGACTTTGTGGGGAGGGGCTCCTGGGTGACTTGGCCACGGGAAAGAAAGCCTCGGGGTCAGCAAACTGCCAGTCCCCATAAGTAGATCTAATTATGACTGCTTACTTCAAAAAGAGGATTTAACCCAAAGCAGATTTAGCAGGGCAGTTTCCAAAGGGCAGCAGGAATCCCGGGCCTGACCTTTGAGAAAATCCTATAGGCTTCACTGCCTCTGAGAACTCGGCAAGCCAGTCACCGTAGACTCTGCAGATCGCAGAGAAATTCAGGGATGCCAACTTGAGTTATCAGGGTCCTAGTGGGGGTGTTTAATTTAGCATAACGGGTGTCTGGCAGGGCGTGCCCACCACAGCGTGTGCACTGGTGGTCAGTCAGAGGATTGTTCTGGGGGAAAACAATGACAGTAAAAAATATAAAGTACTCAAGTATAACCTGTGAAGTCAAAAATACTATTTAAAAACCTTAAGGTGGTTTGATATGTAAGTAAGCATCAAAGATCTCTTAGTGAATTCTTATCTAATACAGGAAAGTTTGCTGATGTATCCCAGTAGTGCTGCTGATCAAAGTATCAAAAGCATCTTAAGATAATTTTTTTTTAAATTTTTACTTTGATTTTAAAGACCTAGGTAGCACTTTGCTCAGGGGAAGTGGTTGCTGGAGTTTTAGTAAAATCAGACAACTCCAAAAGGGTACAGAGGATTGGAATTGTTCATCTAGAGTTGATCAACATGAAGTTAGTAAATAAACACATCTGGGATAAGCTTATTGTAGAGTATAAAAGTACTTTGTGAACTATAAAGCTCTCCCTCGTGTGTTATTATTTCAATTACTCTCACAGAACACAAAAATCAGGAAGACAAAAAAGAAAGGAAAAGAAACAGCCTGGATAAGTACAGTCTTTCCATCCACACACTTCATTCAACTGATGAATCACTGAACTCTACCTCTGAAACATATAATACACTAAATGTTAAATAGTTGAATTTAAATAACATTTAAAAATGAATAAACCAACAACCCTGTAAGTGAACTGGTGCCACCTCAAGCATTCAGCTTACGGGGGAAACTGTAGAAAAGTCAGGTGTGTCTGGTTCTAAATCAAATCATTTACAACGTGACCGGAAAACAATTCACACAGGTGTTCTTTAAAATTATTTGATTTCAGATCTTTTAAGAAGTCACTATCAAACAAGCGCCTACTCTTTCACCTGACCACATTCCAACACAGAATCCCTACCCAGAGGGCTGTTGTAGAAATGCATAATTTACACTGTCATTAAAACCTTGTTTGCAAGATCCACACTTGAGGTTGGAAAGTTCACAGAGACTGAGGGAGTGGAGTTTATTCTCAGAGCTTGGTTACCCCAAAAATGTCAAATTAGGCCATCTGTTTGTTCAAACACAAAGCTGATAAACCTTAGCTTACAGGAGCAGAAGACAGGCTTAAAGGAATGGAGAGTATTGTACATTACGCTCCAGCAAAGAGAACTTTGTTCTGTTTTCCATTTCTCCTTCCCCAACGGATGTGTCAAGTCCAACAATAAGTAAAAATTACCAATAATTTTTTAAACATTTAACACAAACCTGTGCTGCTTCATGCATTTATTTACTCTTACTGTGACAGCTTTTTCTTATAAGCAAACTAATCTGGGAAAACCATCTCTCTTTCTTGTAACTAAATATATGATAAAGCTGGGATTAGGAAAGCTGTCTCCAAGTGGCTCTTAATTTGCAAGTCCTAAACACAGAAGCAGACTCGCTTGGTAACTCAAAGCATCAGGATTGGATGTCACCGGTTTCAAAGACTGTGGAATTCACAGACATAACCATTCAGCGGAGGAAAGAAAAGGGAGAGAATAAGCTAAAAGAAGATGCTGAACAAAACTGGAGAACATAGAAGAGTTCATTACAAAACTTTTCAAGTTGGAGTCGCAACTTCAAACATGGTGATCCCAGGGTCTGAGAGAACTACCTGCCAGGACAGATATCAATGCTCAACACGTGGAGGTTTTGTTTGGGGTTGTTTTTGTTATTGTTTTTTTACACCGAGTTTTAAGAGTTATGCAACCCTTAGAAAGCAGGTAGTTCTAGTCATTAAATAATTTATACACAATGAAATATTAAGATTTTCTGTTGTGGTATTAAGGATGAACAGGATTCATTTTAAATTGTTAAGCTTACAAATTTTTCAACCACTTATTCAGGAAGTAAAAGCAGATTATTTTCCATAGAAGGAAATTAGTAGAGCGGCTTTTCGAATGTAGGTGCTTCATTGATCATATATGAGCTCCCCAGATTTGTTTCCAGCTGTATGGCTTTATGGCTCTCAACGTCCTAGAGGGAATCGGGCGTCCCACCCCGTGCACCCCCAAACCTATTCACATGGATGATTGCAGGTAAAAGTCTGTCTCACTTTCTACAAGCCATTCAGGTCACAAACCACTCGGAACTCGGAGTCAGAACCTGGGTTCCCGTCTGTGGTGTCACCAGGCTGAAGTCGGCTCCCGGACCAGAGGGACAGAGACTAAAGGACGGCAGGGCTCTCCTGTGACTGGGACACGCATGCACATTACCTCTCCCGCTCCTGCTCCAGCAGGTTGGTGAAGTCGTCGCTCTTGTTCATGTAGTCAGTGTGTTTGTGCTTCTCGCTCTCTAACTCATACACCGTGCGCCGGTGACACTTCTCTGCCAGCAGCAACTGCTCTAGCATGCGCCGGTACGTCTCCTTCTGTTTTTCCTCAAGTCTGTCCAGCTGCGTAAACCAACATGGGAAAGAGCTTACTATTTCATTTGATTTGCATAGGACTCAAAATATTGTATTGATCTAGTGATTTATTATCTGAAGGAGAGAACGTTGAGTCTGGTGTCCTCTGCCATTTTCCCCATTCCATCATTTTGTCTAGGCCAACTGGCTCTCCAAACTAGCCATAACAAGGCTGCAGTAACTTCTGGCCTCCTGGCCCTTTTGCTGCGAGCAGATGTATGGTTCCTCAACTTTTGAGAGAACAAACTCTTTCGCTATTTCCGTGAGATGGCACAAAACCCTATACTTAGCAAGAAAGAAGATAACGGTTCTCCCAGTCTCAGAAAAATTAAGAGCTCAGCATGGTACCTGTACCAAACTTCTCCCCTGGGAAGTCATTATCATCATCACAATCTTTTTTAAGACTTGCCATTACATGCACTTCTAGGAAAAGTATGGGAAGGATCCACAGTCCTCTCTCTTCAAAATATGCTAAATATAGGGAGGATTTCAGGACTTATAGAGAGCACATGTCTCAGACTAAAAGAGATGCTGTCAAATATTATTACAGGACTTTTTTAAAAAGAATTTATTTGAGAGAAGGAGAGCGAGAGAAAGTGAGCGTGTGGGTGGGGGGAGGGGCAGAGGAAGAAGGAGAGAATCTCATGCAGACTCGCTGTTGTGTGAAGACAGTCACAGGGCTGGGTCCCACGACCCTGAGAGCATGACCTGAGCCAAAATCAAGAGTACGCTGCTTAACAGACTGAGCCACCTAGGTGCCCCAATTACAGGGCTTTTTGTGCCTATTTCTCTGCCAGCCTAGAAGACCTTTAAAGGGAGCTTTGATGAAGTTTTTAGTTCCTACTGCCTAACACAGTGCCTGGGACAAAGTAAGTGTTCAGTAAATGTTTGTTCAATTGGACCAAATCTTGCAATATTAATAGTTCCCTATCCTACTCTCCTCTTCAAACTCTAGTACAGGGTTTCTCAACTTCAGCACTACTGACATTTTCGGCCAAATCATTCTTTATTTTAGGCAGCTGTTTTGTGCACTGGAGGATGTGTGGCAGCATCCTGGACGTGCACTGGGTGTGTGGCAGCATCCCGGATGTGCACTGGATGTGTGGTAGTATGTGCAAAGGATATGTGGCAGCATCCTTGGTCTCTGCCCCCTAGGTGCCAGTAGTACTACTTCCGACTGTGACAAACCTATCCTCAGATGTTGCCAAATGTCCCTCGAAGGGCAAAACACTTCCACCACCACCCACCCCAAATTGAGAACCACAGCTTTAGTCGAAATATATTTAAAATCCATTCTCAATCTACAACCTACCCCCTAAAACTTAATGGGGGTAATTCCATGCGGCATCAGCATCAGAGTTCTTCCACTGGGTTCTCCATGTTTGTCCCTCAGTCATATGGAGGATCTGAGGTTACCTCTACAGTTGTGTGAGATCTCCATTGTGGGGATCATTTCTGGGCCCCCAAATAAAAGAGATACTGACTGCATAATCCTTAGTGTTTCTGACCAGATCTGTATCGCTTTGTGTAAGAGTCTGTGACTAGACAGACTGGTAGAGAAGCCCAGGTTAACTGGTGGTAAATAATATTTGATACCATTAGGGATTGGCAAACTGTACTTTTATGTGTTCTGATAAATATCTGTAGTCTTAAAAGGACAGCTTCTACAAGACATTTCCTTCACTGGAATATCCCTATTACAAACTATTCTCCCCAGGAACTCTTCCATCTTTTTACTATGTGATTTTCATCATATATTATAGAATTTGTCAAGCATTTTTATCAATGTAGAAAGAGCAACTCTTTCCCTCTTTTGATCCTCTCTACTTTATCATGAAGTAGGACCCACATTTCTTTTGAAAGTATTTGGAAAGCAGCTTCTGCCTATTTCTTCATACCCTCCCTTAGGGAAGGAGGGGTGACTTATTTGAAAGTTGTAACCCAGCAATTGCACTATAAGGTATTTACCCAAAGGACACAAAAAATACTGATTCAAAGGGGCACATGCACCCCTATGGTTTATAGCAGCATTATCAACAATAGCCAAACCATGGAAAGAGCCCAAGTGTCCATCGACTAATGAATGGATAAAGAAGATGTGATATATATACACACACACACACATATATAATGGAATATTACTCAGCCATCAAAAGAATGAAATCTTGCCATTTGCAACAACATGGATGGAACTAGAGAGTATAATGTTAAGCGAAATAAGTCAGAGAAAGACAAATACCATACGATTTCACTCATATGTGGAATTTAAGAAGCAAAACAGATGAACATAAGGGAAAGGAAAAAGAAACAAATAATACATTATATGTAAAAAAAAAAAAAAGAAGATAGCAGGAGGGGAAGAATGAAGGGGGGGAAATCGGAGGGGGAGACGAACCATGAGAGACTATGGACTCTGAAAAACAAACTGAGGGTTCTAGAGGGGAGGGGCGTGGGGGGATGTGTTGACCTGGTGGTGGGTATTAAGGAGGGCACGTTCTACATGGAGCACTGGGTGTTATGCGCAAACAGTGAATCATGGAACACTACATCAAAAACTAATGATATAATGTATGGTGATTAATATAACATAATAAAAAAATTGAAAAAAGGAAAAAGAAAGTTATATTTGGGCTAGGGAACTAGGCACAAGCAGCTCAGCCTTTTCATTTCTTATTTTTTTACTCTGCCTGCCATAAAATGGTACACTGTGCTCTGAAGCCCCAAACTCTCCTTCAAGTGGTTTCTCCAAAGTCTAGGAGGGAAAGCAATAGAAAGTCTGGTGGTATTCATTTGTCTATTCAAACCAATAATAAAACTAAATGCTTTAACTCATCTATCCAACTCCTGCAGTTACTCTCAATCCCTTCAAGGAACTCTGGAGGGGAAGATGGGGGCATTATTAACTGAATAGCTAAGATATTCAGAAAAATAGACATTGTGAGGGCATGTGGAGAAAAACAGCTTATGTTGATATGAAGTGTTCTGAGTCAGCCTAGGTAGAAGGTAAACCTTAGCTTTAGTATGTCCTGTCCACATGGGCCTTTGAGATTGGTTGTTCTCAGCAGCTACAGTCCCGGGGCTAGCCCACTGGAGCAGTTGCTGGGGTCTCAGCAGGCCATGTTCCCCTCACCTACACTAGCATAGTTTGACCTCAACACTGATTATATAATCAGGAAGACATCTCTTTGTCTTGTAATGCACTGAAAGGATGCCAAGACACTGGTGTGCACACTGGTTTTCACACAGAACTGCAGGCCCAGCCTTTAAACTGCAGAGGTAGCAAATTCCTTTTTAGCAATAAAGCATTCATGTGTGAGGATCTAGCTTTCAATTTTAAATTCTAGATGTAAGAACCAACCGAGGTAGCAAGAGATCAGCTGTACGAGACCCTGTTTCTTGTTATTTTGTTTGGAACTACATAGAGCTCCCAGGAGAGAACTTAGGTGGGCTAAGCTCTCTCTTGGATCTATGTGACTTGTCTAGAGGCTCTGAAGACCACCTCCCATAACTCTGGGCTCTGTTGATTCATTAATCATGTCACTATGTCCATAACTTTTGATTTTCAGTATCCAAACTGTGGCTCAACTTAGAGGAATAGTTGCTTTTATTAATGAATAGTGAAAGTGAAATGGGAACCTGTTACTTTAGAAATACAGCTCTCACTTGGACAGAGGTGGAAGGAAAATGAAATGAGATCATCATAACACCAAAGGCCAAAAGGAGAGTATACCGGGAAGTCTTATTCTGCTAAATCAAGTTGATGGAGAAGAGGTTTAAGGACTTGAGATGGAGAGAAATTTCAGCATGTTTTAGACAAAAGAATCATGGTTGAGGAAGTGCTTTTAGCTGTTATCAGCAGAAGGCTAACTGGAGCAGGATTAAGGGATTTGGGAAGAGACAGATCTACTGAATCTAAATCTAAATCTAATTCTACTAAAGAGGAAACAAAAAGTCTTAAAGACCAAACTGGAATACACAAGAGAGAAATGGATCTAAGTGCTCTGAAAGATAGGGCTATAAAGAAGGGAGATATTTTAGTCATTATTTGAATCAAAATGTGTGACCAGAGGACGTAGAGATAGGTGAGCACAGGGAACAGAGCAATGTGAGTCCCCCCCAAAAAGTGTTGGAATCCAGAAAATGTCTGAGGAATGTGCTGTAAAATTGCTGATAGTTCTCCATGAGATCAGTTGGGAGCCATTCTCTCGAAGACTGCAACAGCTATTAGAAGTGGATACATAAAATATAGACAGATTTAAGAATTACATTCTGAGAAGATTAAGGTAGAACATTTGAAGCATTATTTGGTGAGTTTCAGTGTGTCAGCTAAAATAGATGGGCTCTGAGTGAACACGTTTGAGAATCTTGGAGATGTAGAGTTTGAAGGAAAGATGAGTCGAACATCAGGGGATTCAGGCAGGACAGTAACATAAACAGTTCAAACATGGATATACCAAGATGAGAAAAGACTCGTCTGTCAGTGAGGATTATCCAACCCAAGGACATAAACGTAGATAAGATTTGTTTTAAACAAAGGATCCTGTTGGCAGGCTCATAACTCCTTGATTTTACTTCTATCACTGAGGGAGACCATACAATACAGAACACAGAAGGTAACTGCCCCAGACTGACTGGAATCCTGTTGTAGTTAAAGGATTTTCTCTACATGCCTTCCCTCCCTTAGACATCGCCTAAGTCTCTACTTTGGTCTTGCTAAGAGTAACATGGGCCTGCATTATGCTGAGTCATTTTGCTTGAGATAAACTGACTATGGAACTGAGGATTTTCTTGTATTTTTAATACTTATGCATGTAAGGTTGGTATTATGATACTTTCATGTGTTCTAATAATTCTTTAGACTCTTCAATAAAAGGGGAATAGGGAGACTTTAGGATATATTAGTTAAACTTTGAAAATGCTTAAGATTAAGATCCCTCTGGCTAAAGCTAAGCAGAATAAGAATTTGGGAAGGAAAGACACTGAAACCTTGATTTCTTTGGAATTTTACTTAAGAATTATGAACTTTCATATCCTGGATTTTAATTCACAAAGAAGCTCAGGGGGATTTAATATTTGCTGCTTAATTTCTCCCCAGATATTTGGCAAGGCAGAGGGGGTCTACCACATGGGGTTCATTGCTTAACCTCTGGTGAGTTCTATTGGATAACCTAGCTGGGCCTAATTTGGTACAGAAATTAAAATGAGCAGTGATTTTGGGGCTTAAGATGCAGCATGGATTCTAAGAATAAGAGCTAGACTATCCGCTCATGGTCCCAGGAGGCTAATGGAACAGTGATTGTATTGGAATCGGGCCTCATGAAGTTGAAAGAAGGACTCCTGCTCCTGGGTAACAAGTTGATTGTTAAATCCAAAAGGTTAGGAGACCCCAAATTTGTAGATGGTAGAAGATAAATCTTTTCTCCTTCTAGCATTCTATTTTTCCCACAAAGCAGGACCTTACCATTTTGTCAGTATTGGGAAAAGTAGCCTCTGTCTTTCTCTCTACCTCCTCACTCATTCCTCCCCAAGTGAGGAATAACTCTTCAGATTGTGAGGTGAGGGGAGAAAGAAACCAAAAAGCTTGTCCAGCTGAGCCAGTTCTAAAAGGATCACCCACAGGGCGGGTGTTTTCTGCTCTGCTCCTCTGCCCACGAGATAGGAACCCTTGGGTTAGGCCTACTTTCTGAAGGTAGGTCAGAAACTCCTTCTTTGGGTACTTTCAATAGAATTCACTGGGTTAGAGGCAGTGCTTTTGGTAAGTGTGTGTGCTTTCAGACCTACCTCTCCTTTGAGGTGTTATCCCAAGCTCTAACTTGGGAGAAAAGAATTAGGAAACCTAAATGATATCCAAACTGAGTTCTCCAATCCAGGGGGTTATCATAAGAATATTTAATGAATATTTTGACTTCATTATGTCTTTCACTCCTAAAACCCCTCCAAGTTTGGAACTAATTATAGGTGTGAGAGAATATCACAATATCACGCTCAAATCCCAGCAAATGCTAATGGATAGTATTTGTTGAGTACTCAGTATGTACCAGACACTGTGTTAAGAGCTTTACAGACATTGCTTCATTTAATCTTTACAACAACTCTAGGAGATACACATTGTTGTTACTCCCACCTGACAGAGAAGGAAATAAACTTAGAGAGCTGAAGTGACCCACCCAAAGCCATATGCAGCTGGTAACCGTGGCTCTCAGACATGGAAGTGGATCCAGTCAGTTGACTGCATCCCATCATAAATCATCTCTTAACATTTTAGGCAAAGATTAAAACAAGAGCTCCGGCTTATCCTTGCTGCAGAAATTAGGGTAATTACGGGACCATCAGTCTGCTGTGAATACTGTCTCAAGCGGATCTTATCTGAGATCTGTCAAACTGAGCTTCTACAAAGGCTTGACATAAGATAATATATTATCTTTTATATTATATTATTATCTTTTATATTGTAATAAATTGCTTCACTTTTAATTTCTGTGTTCTTTTTCTTCATTTATGATGCTAATTTCATATCTCTGCATTTTTTTTACATGAATTCTGAAGTCAGTATGGCTAGATCTAGCAACTATTTGCCTAGTTTAGCCTCAAACTTCTACTACAACATGAGAATACTTTTAACATGTAGTATCATGGGAAATTAATAACAATAGTAAATAGTTCCTAACACAATCTTATATAAAAATGATTAAATATAGCCCTATTAGATTTCATCTTAAAGAATTGTCCTAAGCATTTCATTGGGATTTTGCCTCAACCATTGCATTTTAGCTACTCACGTGAGACCATTTTACCTATGACAGAGTCTGTGAGATACTAAAACACAGTCCCTTTGTAAATAACAATAATAAAATAAATGTCCATCAATACAATATCAATAATCAATTTAATTTTAGGTTACCAATTTAATAATGATCCTGACAACTCAATGCCAAAACTGATGAGCACTTCAAATTTTTACACACATCATCTCCTAGAGAAATAAAAGAGTAACAGACTGCAAGAGCATGTAATTAGCGTAATCACATGAGAAATATATTTCAGGCTTTAAGTATATTTAAGGAAATGCTTCTAAAATTCTTATCATTGCAATGCATCCACTATAATTCATGTGATTCATATTACACTGTAAATTCATATAATTTATTTAATTATACTTTAATTCTATACTAGTGTAGCATAAAAATTTTGCCTTTGAAAGAAAATGTTAAAGCATGTAAAATGGAAAACGTGAAGCCATCACTCTGAGGTACCCTTATATACGGGAACTTGTTGATGTCCTATTTTTACCTCTGAAATCGGTTTCTCATAGACATCTTCTCCTATAGACTTCTCCTGGGCTAGGATGGCATCTCGGTGCAGGACTCGCAGCACTTTCTCTGGTTCTGCAGACCCATAATGAGCCTCCAGAACCTCAGGCTTGGTTTTCTCTGTCTTCAGCATGTGGATCACATCTTCCCTGGCCTGTGGTAGAGTGCGGCAAGGTCACACGGTTGACAACATAAATCACATGCCAGACTCACAAAATCAACACAAAGCTTATTGAACACATCCCCATCTCTTCAGGACTATTGGCAAATTCACTGGGTATTTTGTTCTTATTTTTTATCAGAAGCAGATTGGCAAGCAGTTACCCTGCTTCAGGTTGCTAGGAAGCAGGCAAGCAGAAAACGGATTTGTGCTAATATTAACTACATAAAAATTGCTTTATCTAAGTAGAAAAGATTCTGAGTGCTTTTGAATCAGGAGGACCTGGGATACTTCCCCATTTCACTGTAAATGAGGTCAAGGACAATTTAAAGTTTTCTAGTTTTCTATTTATGCTCTCAAAGAAGTATTCAAATCTGGTTTCCCCATTCTAGTTATAACTCTATGTGTAATTAACAAAAACAGCCTTTATTAGTGAGTTCCTGTTTCCCATCAAGTGATTCATTTTATACAGAAACACATGGTTGGGAACTCACATGGTGCTGCACTGGGCTTTTCGATCTAAGACATTCACACCAAAGGTGAAACTAAACTCCTGTAACATCCAGACTACCAATCACATGAGCCAGATTGGTACGGTCAGTGTTGTTCTTTTGGTTTCTCAGCAAAACTTTAGGACTTTGTTGAGTTCTTGAGAAAACCACATGATTATAGGTTTTATATCATATTGACTATGGATCTCATCACATAATGCAAATACATCTGGATGCATTTTCTACTGGTAAGTAGTGATGAATTTTCTAGCTACGATGGAGCTGACATTTGGTAAATGTACCCCCATCTGGTCATATACTTGTTTTTTCCAGTAATGGTGATGGGTATGAAGTATCCGGACCTCATGCCAACTTATACCAAAGAACAAACTAGTGGGCAAGAGTTGCAGTCTATGACAATAGAATAAAGTTTTCCCCTTTGTTACGCTAACTATGGGTTTGAAATTATAAACCTGGCTCATTATCATGGTATTCTAAACAAAGGAGTTAACTACTTAGTCTTAAGACAAGAGCATTATAAAGTTTCTCTTTCTTGAGGTTTCTCACTTTTATTGCTTTTTCATAGTCTCAAAATTAGTCTAATTCCAGATGGCTAAAGACTATTATGGAAACGTCAATAGACTGGAATTTGCAGATTTTCCCCATGTTGTCTCTGCCACATTTATATGTGCTCATTTCAAGACAAAAATTGGAAAATATTAATTTTGAAGTAACTAGTAGTTTGGAATTAGCAAGAAAGTGAAAGTCAGAAAATAATTTAATGGAAAAGCAATGTGTTTCCACATAGAATAAAAGAACTTAAGGATAGATGCAGTACCAGGCTATCCTATACAGTATCTTTGCGCAGTTTAGAAAAAGGTGTCTACTTCCTCTGGGAGATACAGCCTGAGTCAGAGTGCAGCTTACCTAGCAAGAAAAGAAAGGGCTATATTTCAACCCTTATCTGTCCCCTCTCCCAGGCACCCTTGTGCAAGGTATAACTCCATTCTGTAAATGGTGGCCCTGTACTGAAGGACCCTAAGGTCTGTCATTGGTTATTGGTTTTCAGGCAAATAATATAAATAAGGAGCTTTTAGAAATGGAAATAGGTAGCTACTTCAGTTCAAAAAGTTTTAGCTATGTGGTTTTAAAACATGTAAATATTGTTGGTATCTATCTTCTTGACCAAATCTTCTTAATTCCCTTGAAGATAATAGTTTCTTTTGTTCCAACTGATATGAAACACTTTTTTCTTCTCTCCCTAAAAATGTGCTTATGCTTGAGTTGTATTAAGTGTGATATGCTACATATACCACACATTTCATTCTTAGTTTAATTACTCTAGACACTAATTACCAAAGAAAAAGAGGCTATGGTGGTATAACACTGGGCATTATATATTTAGAATCACACTATTCATCATGAGCTTACTAAAAGCTTTTTAATTGCTATAACAATAATCCTGGAAGGAATACAAATGTTGCCTATAAATCACTACTATTTAAAGTAGTTTAATATAGTAAATCAATCATTATTATTATGGTGTCTGTTTAATCCTAATGAAATGACTGTAATCACAATAAATGATTTAATGTATGTAAATAAGGTCCTACATTTTGGGGATAAACCACTTTACATCGCCATTTTAAGAAACGTCTTAATTTTTTTAAAGATTTATTTATTTATTGAAGAGAGAGAGTGTATGTGCAGGGGGAGGGGCAGAGGGAGAAGGAGGGAGAAACTTGAGCAGACTCCATGCTGAACACAGAGCCCGCCGTGGGTTCCATCTCAGGACTCTGAGATCACGACCTGAGCCAAAACCTAGCATCTTAACCCACTGCGGCACCCAGGCGCCCCGAAAATTCTTAATTTTTATATAAAAGAATGAAATACAAAATGTAAGAAGGTTCCTTTCCTTAAACATTATTGTTTTCACACAGAAGTTTCATCAGAAGCAGGTAGTTAAATTCTCAGGGTGCTGCAGCAGTGCTAAATAGACCAGTGTATTTATATACATGTAAAAGGATCCAGAGGGAAGAATACTTTGAAGAGGACTCTAGAAAAAGGAGAGAAAGGGGTCAGAGGAGGAAGGGACTAAATAAAATTGTTCAATTTATTTAGTCCTGATGATGAAGGAGAATAAATATGAGATTAGGGTATAAAAACAGACACAGAAGGGGTCACATTCTTCTCTTCCATCCTACAAGTTCCTCTTTGTGCCAAGGGGGACATATGGAAGCCAAGAACAAAGATGTCCCTGCAGAACTGTAACTGCACCAGATGGAGCAAGGGGTTGTCTCAACTGGCTACATAAGGAACTGATTAAAGACATATGGGGGCAGCAAAGAGCTATTCTGCAAAGCCCAGGGCCAACAGGTGAGTGTGTGATTAATCTTAAAAAGTCAATAGAGGGTATCTGGGCTTTGCTGGGAGAGCAGGGAGCTGGCGGGGGTGGGGTGGCGCGGGCTAGGGGGCAGAATAAGACACAGAACAGGTAGAGCCACGAACAGGTGGCATAGTTCAAAAAAAAAAAAGAGTTAAATCTAATCATTCTTTCAATAAATATTTGTGCACATTCACTTTGGGCAATGCATTGTGTTCAGTATTGGAGATATAACTGCATCATCAGAGATTAAACCTGGAAGGATATGAACAAATAATTGAAAGGCATTGACATGATAAGTCTTAGGATGGAGGAGATACAGGGGGCTAAGAACTCCATCTAAAAATATACTTGACTTGAATATAAGCTAAGGAAAAGGCTTCACAGAGGAAGTGACCCAAAAATCTCACAATGAGTACTTGAGCCAGAGAAAGAGGGGAACTAGGGTAAGAGTGTTCTTGGCGAAGGAAAAACTGTAGGCAAAAGCCAAACAGATGTAGATGCATGGGCTGGAAAACATGAGGCTGGAGTGATAAATAATGGGCAACTCATGAAAAGCCTTGTAAACCAGGTAGTGAGTTTGCATTTTCTCATGGAAGAGCAAAAGGCCTTGGAATTTTTAAGCAGCAGGACAGTGACATGGTCAGGTTTGTGTGGTAGAAAGATCATTTACCCTGTTAAAAACATACAAATTCTGAATCAACAGGTATGTTGGTGCAGTCCAGGACATGTGATTTAAAATCTCTGCAAAACCCATAGCTAAAATCATACTCAATCGGGAAAAATTGAGAGCTTTCCCTCTAAGATAAGAACAAGAGAAGGATGTTCATTCTCACTACTTTTATTCAACATAGTACTGGAAGTCCTAGCCACAGCAATCAGATAAGAAATTAAATAAAAGGCATTCAAACTGGTAAAGAAGTAAAACTTTCACTCTTTGCAGATGACATGATGCTACAGATAGAAAACCCTAAAGACTCCATCAAAAAACTACCAGATAGAACAGTTACATTGAATTCAGGATACAAAATCAATATTCAGAAATTTGTTGCATTTCTGTATACTAATAATGAGGTAGCAGAAAGAGAAATTAAGAAAACAATCCCATTTATAATTGCACCAAAAATAATACAAGACCTGGGAATAAACTTAACCAAGGAAATGAAAGACCTGTACTCTGAAAACTATAAAACATTGATGGAGAAATTGAAGATGACCCAAACAAATAGAAAGATATTCCATGCTCATGGACTGGTAAAACAAGTGTTATTAAAATGTCCATACTGCCCAAAGAAATTTACAGATTTAATTCAATCATTACCAAAATATCAACAGCATTTTTCACAAAACTAGAACAAAAAATTCTAAAATTTGTATGGAACCACAAAAGACCCAGAATAGCCAAAGCAATCTTGAAAAAGAAGAACAAAACTGGAGGTTTCACAATCCCAGATTTCAAGATAGACTACAAAGCTGTAGTAATCAAAACAGTATAGTACTGGCACAAAAATGGACACATAGATCAATGGAACAGATTTGAGAACCCAGAAATAAACCCCCACTTAATGGTCAATTAATCTACAATAAAGAAGGCAAGAATATGCAATGGGAAAAAGACAGTCTCTTCAACAAATGATGTTGGGAGAACTGGACAAGTATATGCAAAAAAATGAGATTGGACTACTTTCTATAAGAAAGTAGTCCAATACACAAAAATAAACTCAATATGGATTAAAGACATAAACATGAGACCTGAGATCATAAAAATCCTAGAAGAGAGCACAGGCAATCATTTCTCTGACATTGGCCATAATAACGTCTTTCTAGATATGTCTCCTGGAGCAAGGGAAGTAAAAGCAAAAATAAACTATTAGGACTGCATCATAATGAAAACTTCTGCACAGTGAAGGAAAGAATCAACAAAGCTAAAAGGCAACCTACTGAATGGGAGAAGATATTTGCAAATGATAAATCCAACAAAGGGTTAGTATCCAAGATATACAAGGAACTGATACATCTCAACACCCAAAACACAAATAATCCAATGAAAAAATTGGCAGGAGACATGAACAGACATTTCTCCAAAGAAGAAATCGGAAAGCCAGTAGGCATACAAAAAG